CCCCCCCCCCCCCCCCGCCACCACAAAAAACTTAAAAGCCAAGCCAGAGCTCTGAAAGAACAAGCGAGTGTCAGGAACCAGGTTCCGGAATAACTTCTTGGAGCCTAAGCAACAGGATCCCTGTTTGGAAGGACTTCATAAAATTCCACCCGGGGCTCAACTCAGTTGCCTAGCTGCTTCCTTGCGGATGAATCCTGCTAGGCTGCGCTAGGCTGCAGACTTTTACCACAAAAGAATCAGCCCTACACCCACGCGATAGAGCCGAGCCCTAAGTGCCACGGCACGAGACCCAACTGTCTGCACAAGTTGGCACTTTCCAGAGCGTCCTGTTTCCGACCAGGGACTTGGGGACAGTGCCAGTAGTTTGGGGAGGGTGTGAGCATTGAGGGATCCACAAATCCTAGCCTAAGCCCCTCATCCCTAAACCCTGAGCCGCTGACCCGTACCAAGCCACCACAGGAAATTGAAAGACATGAGCTTTCAATGGCCAGGTTCTCGAACAAGGGTGACGAACGGAGAGGACTTTCAGCCGTAGTCGTCCGCTCACTGAGGAAGCGATGAACCCATGTTAGAGACAGCTATGGAGGGTGCAGAACTCATTCATGTTGTGCAGTGTTGTCCACACGGGTGCTCGAACCAGCAGACAAGATTCCAATGCAAGGTGGGGGAGCTCGGTGAGCGAAACAATGTATAACACATGTCACAACCCGCTAGTGTATCAACCTTAGCCAGAAGAAGTTCTCGACCATCTGCCTGTGATCATAATACCAGCAACACTTCTAACAGGAAAGAACAGGGCGGCGGATACACACATGCACACGCCCACGCAGGTATCTGCACTGTACCCACACATAAGTCTTGTGTACATGTACACATGCATATAGGCTCTGTTTCTCCCTCCCTCCCTCCCTCCCTCCCTCCCTCCCTCCCTCCCTCCCTCCCGTACATACATGTGTGCACACTTGTATATGTCTGTGATGTATGTGTGTACATATGTATATGGGTAGTTGTCTAAATTAGGGTCCCTTTTGGCGTCCTGTTTATAAGGGTGCCGTACTTTATTGGGGACTGAAAAAGGAACTGTAATTTAAAGAACTACCCATATATATATATATATATATTTAAATCTGCGTGTGTGTGTATGTACAAACCGATACATGCAATACTGATTACAGCTTTGCGTGGAGCTGTTGGGATGAAGGCCGAGGAGTCCTGTACACCCCGTCTATCAAAAAATCCCATATGGGCAGATTTGTATAATCTCTGTTGTCAATTAACCTTAACCCCTAAACCCCAAACTATGAATCTTCAAAGGTCCCTCATTGTCCCTCAAAGTTGTTCTGAAGCTCTCAAAGCTGCTAACCCGCTTTCCGGTCCTTGCGAGCTGAAAGGTGTCGTTCAGGTCCTCTACGACGGCCAACCTCGGTGTCCGTCGTTGAGGTCCGTCTTTGCTTGAGGGAACTTAGTTTTTCGGGTTTAGGGTTTAGGGTTGAGGGTTTGGGGTTCAGGGTTTTGGGCTTAGGGAACTGCGTTTAAGAGACCGTCCTAGAGGAAGTGCGCTATCATGATTATAGCTCTTGTTGCCGTAGTTACTGTGTTTTGCATCACGCCATTCTTATCGTTAACGCTAGTCCAAAGTATTAGTATTACTATGATGAATTATTAGTCTTCTTAGTCTTATTGCTACTGACTACTATAGTTGTTCCCTGTATCTCCGAATTCTGGTAGCTTAATTCAGTTCACTTTGAGAATTTGGGAAGCCCCGGCGATGCAGCATGTGCGCAGCCCGTCTGTGTCTGCGTATTACACATGCATATCTTATCTACACACATACATATATACACTGCATTACATCTACACTACACTACACTACAGTACATTACATTAAAAACATACATATCTATTAGTCATAGTAATGGTATTAGTATGACCACTAGTAGTAGTATCAGTATTCTTATAAACATACATCTGCGTGCAGATTAAGTGTACTGAGTGCCTGGACCACAGTGACTGGGCTGCCGGCATGAAGATAAAGATGCATGCCTGAGGACAATCCGGTCCACTGAAAGCCATCGGAGAACCCAATACCCCTTAATTAAGGAATATACCTTAAATTATAGGGTCCTTAGTATTATGATTTAAGGTATATTCCTTAATTAAGGGGTATTTGTAAATTGGGTTCTCTGGGTGCTTGCAGCTTGTTCTCTTGTTTTTTCTGTTCGCTGGCACTGGTACGCCTGATCGCTTTGCGATGTTTATGTACCGCACGGCGGACCGCCGAGCATCCTGGCAAGACAAGGGGTAGTTCTCTGAGTTAGGGTCCCGTTTAACCCGTTTAGGGATCCTTTTGAGAAGGGTGCCGTAGTATTTGGGGGACCTAAGCAGGGACCCCTAATTCAGAGAGCTACCCATATGGCTCTGCAGCTAGAACAACTGCAGGCGACGGCACGTCACGGTAGATTGTACATGCTTTGACACACGCATCAGTCATGAAATCTCGTTAACCATCGTAGCCCTAAAGTAACTCAAGCAGTGTTCGGCTGCCCATCCGAGAACCGAATTAACAGATGTCTTGGAAATCTCTGGAAGCGCACGGCAGCGGCTCTTGGCGAAGTTAAGGATTACAATGAGGGTTACCACTGTTACCCAGAGAACCCAATACCCCTTAATTAAGGAATATACCTTAAATCATAAGACTAAGGACCCTATAATTTAAGCTATATATTCCTTAATCAAGGGGTATTTTAGGTTCTCTGGGTACCACATGAGATCCTGAACGGGAGTTTCAAACGAAGCCAGGGTTGCTTTAATGGAAAGGTTCTGAACAGCTCTTGAGCTGCTTTCCGCTGTGGCTCGGCTGCGTAGCTGCGCTGTGCTGCTCAACGCCTACCTTAAACTACCAAACCCTACTTTTTTGTAGGTTCTTATTATAAACCCTAATATGGAATATATATATATATATATATATAGGGGCCCTACAAAAAAGGTAGGTTTTGG